TACGGAATAATCACAAGCTCGAAGTTAAAGGAAATGGTGATATTTGTATCAATGTGAATGGCATGGTACTGGTGATTACAAATGTGTACTATATGTCATCTCTAACGTCAAACCTTTTGAGTGTTGGACAACTTCAATAAAAATCCTTGACTTTTGTCATTCAAGGAAATGTTTGTAGGGTCTTCCATCCTCAAATGGGTTTGATCATTTCATATAACATGACAAAGAATAGGATGTTCCCGGTGTATGTCTTATCTCAACCTCAACAACTAGAGTCTTTACATGTAAGTGGTGATTCCATCACTGAACTTTGGCACAAGAGGTTTGGACACGTCAATCATAAGGCCATTAGAACCATGTTGTACAAAGGAATGGTGGTAGGACTGCCAATTATAGCCGAGAAACATGGTGTATGCGAGACCTATGCCATTGGGAACAACAAAGAGAGGCAATAGCCAAGAAAAGCAACTAGCATGCTACCGAGGAACAACATTTGATACACACACACACCTGTGTGACCCATTACCCCTGCCTCAAACAGTGGAAAAGGTACATACTAGTATTCATCGATGATTATACTAGAACATGTTGGGTTTATTTCCTGTCATAGAAAAATGAAAGTTTTGAACTATTCAAAAGATTTAAAATATTTATGGAAGAAGAAACTGGAATGAACATCAATTGTTTGAGAAGTGACAGGGGAGGAGAGTTCACTTTGACCGCATTCAACGGATATTGTAAAGCTCAGGGCATTAAGAGACAACTTACAACTGCTTACACCCCACAGCAAAATAGGGCTGCATAACGTAGGAACCGGACTCTAATGAATATGGTTAGATATATCCTAACTGAAAAATCTAGGCCCAATTATGTTTGGTCAGAAGCAGCAAGGTGGGCATGTCATGTGTTAAATAGGTGTATGAGCAAAAGTCTTGATGAAAAGGTACCTGAAGAGCTGTGGACCGGGTCAAAACCAAGTGTTGAGAATTTTAAGGTGTTTGGATGTATATGGGGATGTTCATATACCTTCTCAACTACGAACGAAACTGGATCCAAGAAGTCATAAGTGTGTGTTACTTGATGTTAGCCAAGAGTAAAAAGCTTATCGATTATATGACCCATCTAGCAAGAAAGTTGTGATCAACAGGGACGTAATCTTTGATGAAGATTCAGTCTAGAATTGGTCTAAACAGAACCAGGAAACACAAGAGCTGATTGTAGAGGATGATGAACGAATTTAGGAATATCTACAAGAAGATGATGAACAAGTTCAGGAAAATTGACAAGAAGATGAAAATACAGAGGGTCCACAAATTTTGCCAAACCCAAACCCAAACTCTAAATAAGGAGCGGGCTCCTCAGCTCAAGGTACATCTCAACCTGAAAATTCACGTGAAATTTGTAATAGTCCAGTTTTGTCTGCCTCAGAAAATTCACAGAATCAAAACACACCACCTGGTCACCCTCGACGAGCACCTGCATGGACAAAACACTATTACATAAAAGAAGACATGTTCAATGAAAATGAAGCTGGCTTTGCAATGTATAGTGCGATGGATGATCCACTAACATACGAAGAATCATGTAAAGAAGACAAGTGGATACAAGCAATGAATGCTGAAATGACAGCCATAGAAAGAAACAATACGTGGGAATTGGTTGATCCACCACTTGGAACCAAGCCTATAGGGGTAAAATGAGTATTCAAGACAAAAATTAATCAACTTGGAAAGATCGACAAATATAAGGCAAGATTAGTAGTAAAGGGATATGCCCAGCGGGAAGGAATATATTACAATGAAGTATTTTCCCCAGTAGACCGTTAAGACACAATTAGATGCCTAATAGCAATGACGGCTCAAAGAAAGTGGACAATGTACCAAATAGATGTCAAAAGCGCCTTCTTGAATGGTGAGCTCAAGGAGGTGGTACATGTCACTCAACCAAAGGGGTTTATCAAGAAAGGAGAAGAAACAAAGTTGTACAAGCTAGACCGTGCACTGCATGGATTAAACCAAGCACCTTGAGCTTGGTTTAATCGAATTGAAGGTTATTTTTTGCAGGAATGTTTCAAGAAAAACAATTATGACCATACACTGTTTGTGAAAAAGGAACAGGATAAAATCATCTTCGTTAGCTTATTTGTTGATGATTTAATATATGCTGTAAATGATCATGTATTGTGTGAAACATTAAAAAATTTCATGCAATAAGAATTTGAGATGATAGATTTGGGGCATATGAAGTACTTTTTTGGAGTAGAAGTGAACCAGAACTCAGAAGGTATTACTTTATGTTAATCACAATATGCAAAAAAAGTCTTAAAAAGATTCAAGATGAGTGAAGCAAATGTTGTGAAAAATCCAATTATCCCAGGTACCAAACTTATGAAACTAGCACCTGGGAAGGACGTTGACAACACCAAATATATGAGTCTTATAGGTAGTCTCATGTATTTGACTGCGACACGCCCAAATTTGATGTATGTAGTCAACTTGCTAGCAAGATTTATAGTAAAGCTCAAGCAAGAACACATGGTTGTGACAAAACGAGTTCTGATGTATATAAAGGGGACTATGAACTATGGGCTACACTATAGGAAGGATCAAATTCAGAAATTAAAAGTGTTTACTGACAACAATTATGCACGCGATCTAAAGGACCGGAAAAGCACCTATGGGTATGTATGTTTGTTCAGTGGAGCTGCAATATGTTGGAGTTCTAGAAAACAAGAAGTTGTTACTTTATCATCAACAAAAGCAGCATATATTGCAGCTATGACATGTGCATGTCATTGTGTATGGTGAAAGGTCTCCTTGAAGAAAAGGTTGAAGCTGTGGAGGTTATGTGTGACAACTGTTCAACAATAAAGCTATCAAAGGGTCCAGTAATTCATAGAAGAACAAAGCATATAGATGTCCGTTTTCACTATATCAGAGAATTGATGAAAAAAGATATTATATAACTGAAGTTTTGTGGCACAAAAGAGCAGCTAACAGACATGATGACCAAGCCTTTGACTTTAGCTGCATTTGAATTCATCACATAAGACATTGGAGTGAGAGATGTTAAACAAGAAGCTCAACGCTTACTTGTTTAAGGGAAGGAATTTATTAGGCCAATCTCAATGTTTGGGTTAGCCCACGTTTTTAGGTTATGTTTGAAATAAGGCCCAAAGCCAAGAGTCGGTGTGACTTAGTAATCCGAAGTACCAGGTTGTTCCCTTCTTCTTCGTGTCGAACAAGATTTAGGGAATATATAATTTTGTTATGTTTTGACTCTTTCTCGTTCTTTCTATTATTTGTAATGGCTATAAAAACCCTTTTGTTCTTGAATATATTATTAGAAATTGTGAGTTGAATCGATTGTTATCACTTCTTTTCAACATTACTCGATATACGGATGAACTTTAGGTGTATTTTGTATTACAAAGAAATGTTCTTTGATGAACAATTATGGACACACTTTAGAAAGATATGCAGCTGATAGTGCTACTCCGTCGACATTATCAATTGTTTTATACTTATCCTGTGGAATATCAACAATCTGTATGCTTTGTGGTATTCACTTAAGAACTCAATTGTCTCCTCTGCAACATTCACTTCAACAATGCACCGTTCCAATTTGTTTTTGTTCCAGACATGACCTTTTATTACCTTCATGTATCTTTCAAATGGATACATCCATCGGAAGCATACTGGACCACATATTCTTATATCCCTAGTAATCATCATGAACTTAATTTGTAAAGTAGTATGCTATAATGATATGTTGATAATTGTTAGTTTAATATATAGTACAGTGCTATAATTGAAAAAAATACAATGCTATAATGTATATGCAATATTGTGTAATATGTAGTTTCGTTATAATTTGATATATTAGTATTTTGTAGTTTGGTAATTGTTAGTTTAGTATTGTACAATGCTCTAATTGAAAAAAAAAAAGTACACTGTTATGATGTATATGCAATATTGTTTATGATTTAGTTTGATTATAATTTGATATGTTGGTATTTTGTAAATTGGTAATTTTCGGAAAGTACAATGCTATAATAGAAAAACGAAAAAAAAGTACAATGCTTTAATGTATATGGAATATTGTGTATGATGTATGTTTTAAGTGTATTTGGAAAGTTGAATGGTATAATGATATATGTTTGGATGTCGGTATTTTGTGGTTTGGTAATTTTTCGAAAATACAATGTTATTATGTTATGTTGGTGATATATTTTGTTTTCTTTGTAATTGGAAATGTTGTAAACAATGCTAAAAGACCCAGCCTGTAATGTGTCACTAGAAGACTGGTTTCGATCGTTGCCGCCATGAAATGAAAACGAAGGAAACGAGGGGAGTAATAAAGACGAGTAACTTCTTTTTTAGGATTTATGAAATGTTTTTTTGATTTCGTATTTTAGATTAGTATTTTGAATATATTGCAGTGTATAAGTTTGGATGAGTATTGATGTTTGGATTAATATTTTAAATCATATATGATTATTAAGCGTGGTTAATGTTCCGAACTGTTTTTCTTTAAAATAAAGTCTTGTAGCAGTTTTTATACGTGTTATATTGTTTTTTATAATATTAATGTTAAATACAAAAAAATATACAATTAACGGCGACGGGCATGTATTAGTCCGACATCTCTTTTGCGGCGACGGGTAGCAATAGCGGCGACATCTTAGTTGCGGCGACAGGGAGCAATAGCGGTGACATATGGAGCACTTGCAACGAGGAAACAACGGCGACCTTTTGGCGGCGATATGTCGCTGCAAAAACATCGTGACATTTAGCGGCGACGCCTGTCGCCACAAATGTTCGCTTTTCATGTAGTGATTGTGATTCATTTTTACTACGACACTATAATCATACATGTTACAAACTCGTCGAATGTATCAAGTAAAAGCATCTCAAAATATATTATTGATCAAAGACGATATATATCAACTATATTGAACCTAAAACAATTATGGAGTGGTTTAAACATGTTATGATCATGTAGAGGGTTCGAGTATATGAATCTTAGACCACTGTATGTTTTAACTAATATCAACTAATGTTTTGGATTCAATTGTGTATAGGTGGTTTTCTCTTGGCTGGAGAATAATCCATCCCTGTTATGTCTACAACGTCTGGATATGGTTCTGATACGATTTCCGTCTTTCCGTGTTTTGAACTTACTGGAACCGAGGTCGTTGAAAAATTCTCATCTTTTCCTAGTCGGCTATGAGTAAACTTTAAATCCGATTGCGGCTTGTAATTCTGTACACGAGAAATAAATCTATGGACTTAAATATCAATGAATATATTATTTCTCTAATTTTCATTATTTTCTGGAAATTAAGCTAACCTTGCTATTGGTGGAGTGAGGATCTGAAGATAATATTTTTGCCATAAGTTTTCTATCTATGCCTGCAAATAAATAAACAAAAAAAAAATTAAGATATTGTAAACACACACGAATCATACATTTAATCCGCTTTTAAAAAAACGAGGATGAATAAAAAATTTGCAGATAGAAGCCTCTTAAATAGATAAAATATAACTTTAATTAAATATTATAGCTGGTAACCCTTGGATAAAATTTCACTCAGTTTTACACAAATTTTCGTCTGTCCTTTTTAACAGGTCTAACACTCAACCCTCTAGAGATGGTAAACACTAATAGTCTGATCACTGGTGTAGTCTCATCTAAGTTCTAACTAAGATTCGAAAGGAAACTACGTAATATCTAGGGTTTTTAATGGTGTCTAGGGATGTGATGTCTGGGGCCATAGTAATCTTCATGAATCTTTGGTAACCAGTGGCGATGAGAACTTAATCTTTGCTTCTTTATGATGGTACCTGGTGAAAGGTTGCTAGCCCTGGCTGATTCATCGTCTTGAATGCTTAATGTAGTCTGTGAATGAGCAAAAACCAAATCAGAAATAAAGTTTGAAGAGACGTCTAATTTTTAGCATAAAATACCATGAGATAGACCAACCTTAGTGATGAGTTCTTGATGGTCGCTAGATGATATTAAAGATGTTTTGAGCCTTATACCTTCAAAAAAACGACACAAAACACATAATCAGATAAAAAAAAAACAATTAACCATGTTAGATCATCGTCTTCTGCAGACTTGTTTTGATATATAAACTTATATATCACTTACGTACAATATAAATATACGTTCATCAAGAAGTTGCTGTAAGTAATGATGTAAGTTTAGCAGCCTTAAAATTTGTTACTCGTTTTATTTATTTTATGAATTTTGTTTCTTGAGAACATTTTGAAAACATAAGACATGCAATATTATATTTCGCCTTTTCATATACAAAATATTGTTTTATTGGGACTGATATACAAACCTTACCGAAGTGGAATAATTATATTTTATTTTTTCCATATATAAACCTATTTTTAATTAACGGGTTTTCAAATTCGTCTAAACCCTAAAAAACGAGTAAAAAATTGGTAGAAGACCATCAAATGACATCTTAGTAGTCATTTAAGTCTCACATACGGACGACATTGTTTAAGGCATGACCTAATTAAGTTTAGAATATTAGTGGATGATGCTAAGGGAAAATTTGCACAGGAGTTTGTAAGATAATATGCTTATTGCATAGCTTAACATTTGATGACATCCTATCTCCAAAGAAAGACATATACATACACACACACAATTAATGTATGTATGTAGAGGTGTATGTTATTTGTATATATGTTGTCGAACTGAACATACCTTGAGCTTGATAAAGGATAAAGGAGAGAAGAAAGAGATTGAACATAAAAGAAGCCTTCATTTTGTCTTCAGAATTAATATTACAAGTTTGTTGAAGTAAATATAATGAGAGAGCAAGAGAGGATGCATATCAAGGTGGAATTGGGAGGCTATATATACACATAGATAAGGTTTCGGACCCACATACTGTTCATGACCAATGAGGTCAATACTTGTACAATGTTCTTTCCTATTTCTCAAAACGGTAATGAATTTTGTGATTTCTGTTTTTCTTTAAAGTATGATATTTTATTTCGAAAAGCTGGCTTATGAAAAACTTCCTTCGTACTGCAGGGAGCTTTTTCATTTAATATTTTTTTTTACCAAATTCGTAAATTTACAAGTTCTCGTTTATTTTTATTATTATTATTATTATTATTATTTTATTATTATTTTTTAATTATTATGGTTTGCCACATTAGTTTGCAAGCATTGTTAAATAGATAAACTTGTATAAAACAATATAATGATATAATTTTGAAATGAATGAGTCTCGTAAATAAGTTATATATCAAAAGGCCTGTATCGTATTGTGCATGTATGTTAAACATTTTAACTTTCAACTTGTTTATGAGACTCATTCATTTCAAAACAATAGAACAAGTTCATATAATTTTTTGGTATTATGTCATACTCCTGATTTACTCCACCACTAGGAGGTCTTCACGAAACTTGAGACCATGCACCCAAATGAATACGTTCTGAAACTAAGAATACTTGTTTTAGGTCTAAAGCAAAAGACTCTAGGAAATTATTGTTTCAACATGAACCCATAATCCAAACATGAATCCAAAACTTAGTGTGATGTCAAGTGCCGACTTTTATAGTACAAAATCCATTCAAATCTAGCCTAGCACTACAAGAAATGTAATGTGGGCAATAGCGGCGACGCCGCTATTGCCCACGCAGTAGCGATCCACGTGAAATGAACCATGTCCGTTCGATCAGTATTCCATCCAACGGTCGTAAAGGCATAAAAAAGTGCTGACTTTTCCCTCCAGGGGTGTCGCCGCTATTGCCATGGGCGGAGGATATACTAAGGGCTAGTTTGAAAATATAAAATTTAGGCTTTGGCCCTTGCTGTTTTTTTTTTAAAAAACTATAGTATTAGTTTCACCCCCCCCCCCCCAAATTACTTTGTTCAAGCTCCGCCACTGGCTATTGCCTTCTGTGTCGCCGCTAATACATAGGCGTCGCCGCTAATACACGTCGCCGCTATTGCTTTGCGTCAGATAACCCCCCATTCGTTCTTTCTTGGTTCGCCTGCCTCTTTCTTCTCACAATCCTCCCGGCGCTTTCCCTGCCGATTCCGACCAGCCACCGCTGATTGCTGCCACACACTCACCACCGACCGGACCTTCATTACCGGCGACAAGTCCTTCATTGCCAGCGTCCAGCGACCAAGAGGGCATCCAGCGACACAGCTACTTTTCCGAAAAATTGAGCAATCTAAGGTCGAATTCTTTCCCTAATTTCTATTCTTCTTCTGTTTTGATGTTAGTTTTAGCATTGATTTATATGTTTTCTAAGAGTTTGTTTGGTTAGTGATTTTGTGGGCTACCAAGACCTTCTGTGTTTCTGTGTTTTGATGTTAGTTTATGGATTTTGTGACATTATATATGTTTTCTCAGATTTATGCAATCTATTGCATAATTGATTTGTGTTTATGTTCATTGTGATGTATTGGGATGAAAATGCAATTAGGCATGGTTTGTATGATTTTGTATTTAGATTTATACTTTTGTATGAAATTGAAATTTGATGTCTAAAATGGTAGGTGCTATAAGGTATGATGTTGTATTGTATGTCTTAAATGAAATGAAAATTGGAATTTAATGTATTGTATATATGTATTTCTTATAAAGGTTATGATATATATATAATATATATATACTATATATATATATATATATATATATATATATATATATATATATATATGAAATTTTTATTCATTTATTATAAGCTATCGTGACTAATATTTTTAATTATATTTTTCAGCTGAGCTCCCTAAAAAAAGAAGAGGCCTAGCAAAAAACATCCAACTATCAAAGCTGATACGGGCAAACAAGGGAAAGCCTGTGGATTTGGATTTCGATAGGGAGCTGACATATATTTCCCTGTCGGGAACTGTGGTAATTGGTTTACCCGTGAGATTGGGAGGTATATGTGGATGAACATCCCTTTGAACGTATCTGGTTGGGACAATCTTTCCCCCGCTTTAAGGAATGCCACAGTGGTTCATCTAAGGTAACTTGGATAATATTTTAAGTTTAGTTCTGATTGGTATTTAACTAACTAACTTTTTTGTATTTGTAGAATAACTTTGATTTAGATAAGGTTAACTTGGATCCCGAGCGTACTCAGTTGTTGCAAAGCATTGATGCGACTTTGCAAATAGTTTATAGAGGCCAGAAAAATAAAGCCCATACTTATTTTCAGAATGCCGGGGGGCTTATAGATATCCCAAGGGCATTAGCCAACGCCCCCGATGGTATGTCACATGAAAATTGGGCGCAAGCAGTCGCACATTTTCAAACTCCTGAATTTATAAAGCGTTCGGCGTCAAACAAAGGAGTCTGTGCACAACAACAAGTTGTAAACAGAGGGGGATCGTGCTCGTATAGCAATGCATGTTTCAAAGAAGTAAGCTATGATATATTTAACTGTTTATTTAAATTATAATTAATCTAATTTTTAATGTTAAATAGGACATCGCTCGAATTGAAACATTTCGTAAGGCCAATACTGATCGCCAAGGGATATTTAGTAGTCCTGCAGTCGAGCAACAATACGTAAGCGGTTAATTTGTATTTCATGTAAGTGTTTATATTGTCAAGGGGTAGTTAGTAATCTAATTTTTATGATGTTTATCATTTTTTGAAAATACAGAATGTTTTACTCCTTGAGATCAGTCAACAAACTCAAACTTCTTCTGAAGCCAGTGGTCTAACACCAAAGGATACACAAAATTGTTTTGAAAAAATATTGGGTGTTCGACGTGGCCATATCAGAGGCATCGGGCGTAAAACTTTTACGGTTGTGTCGATGTACGATCAGGATCAACCACTGACACAGCCATCGCCACAATCACAGGTGACAAGACTATTTAATTTTGCTAATTGTTTCAAATGTTGGTAATTGTTGGTTTAGTAATAGTTTCAAATTTTGGTAATTGTTAGTTTGATAATAGTTTATATATTGGTAATTGTTAGTTTTGTTATAGTTTGATATATTGGTATTTTGTAGCTTGGTAATTGTTAGTTTATGAATGTACAATGTTGTAATGGTATTTTGTAGGTTGGTAATTGTTAGTTATAGTACAATGTTATAATGTTTAATATGCAATATGTGTAATGTGATAATTGTTAGTTTATGAAAGTACAATGCTATAATGGTATTTTGTAGTTTGGTAATTGTTAGTTATTGTTCAATGCTATATTTTGTACTTTGCTTGTATGTGGAATGTATATTTTGTATATAGAATGTTATAATGCTAGTTTAACTTATAAGACTATGTTGTTTTATTTGTAATTGGAAATGCTTCAAACAATGTTAAAAGATCCGGCATGTAGTGATGCACTTGAAGATTGGTTTCGTTTGTTGCCACAACGAAATGAAACTGAAGGAATCGAGGAGAGCGATGATGACGAGTAGATAGTTGTAGGATTTTTTTATGTTTTGTTTGTGCAAGTATTTTAGACTAGTATTTTCAATATTTTGTTATATGTTAAATCGGGTGAGTATTTTAAACGGATGTTGTTTTAATATTTTGGAATGAAATGATGTAGGATTAGATTAATTAATATCATACAAGTTTTTATACTTTTTATACGGTTTATATATATATTATATATATATATATATATATATATATATATTATATATATATATATATCTATATCTATATATATATATATATATATATATATATAAAGGAAAACACCAATACCGGCAACGCCTTTAGTGGCGACAATTGGTTATTAGCAGCGACGGTGCTGTAGCGGCGACACAAACTTATTAGCGGCGACAGGCTTTTAGCGGCGACAACACGCATTAGCGGCGACAGTTTGATTATTAGCGAAAAAGCATCAGCGACAACCTTTTAGCGGCGACAAATCCCACGTTTTAGCGACGACGCCTGTCGCCGGTAATACTCTAATTTCTTTACTGTAGACCACATTAAATGAGAGGTAATTTTAAGAACATTCACCCACACACCTAAGTGCATATTAGAAGGTATATTATTACATAAGGACCTCCCTCTTTACAACTGGCCATAATTTTCTTCCAAATAAACCAAGAAAGCTTTCTATTAGCGACAACCACCACTATTAGCCGCGACAACCAACATTCGCGATGGTTGTCGCCGCGAATAGTGGTTGTCGCCGCTAATGCTCTTCAAGCATGATCCGTGTGAAAGTCTGAGATTACACCCTATCTGTTGATCTAGTTGCAAATCCAACGGCTTGGACCCTCGTTGCGTACATTATCAATAGCGGCGACACCAATGGTGGCGACGGTGTCGCCACTAATACTCTAAATATATTGTGCCAAAACTTCCCTCCTCGCACGTACCGCCACAATTAACTCACCATCGCTGCTAATACTCTTGCGTTGTTGCTAAAGGGCGTCGCCTTTAAAGGTCTGCGCGAGTTCTTTCCTATTATGTTTAGTGTTCACAAATCACTCCACCGATTCTCTGCTAATTCACTTTGTTCTTTCTTCGATGTCACCGGAAACCTCCCCCATAACCGGCGACTGACGAACCCATCACCGATGACGTCCACAGGTGACATTTTCTTCTTCTTTCTTCTTCATCTCAGTTTTTTCTGCTTTTCTTTTACTTTTCTCTTCTCCGCACTGAAAACTCGAATTCCAACTTTTCTTTACCGGAATTTCCAGCTTTAATGTCGGGATTTTGAGCTCCATACCGGAAAATCTCGAAATTTGGAACATCAATTATCTTCTCCACCGAATTACATCTCCATAGATTCTTCATCACCTTTTTATGTTTAGTTTTGTATGTGGAATGTATATTTTGTATATGCATGTTTATAATGTATGTATATATATGTTT